CTCCCTCCACGTATATAACTATATAGGGTTTTGTTTTTTTTTGCTTAAGCCCTTCACCTTGAATGTAATATTTGACTTTGAGGTTTGTCCTTTTACAGTTAGATGATGTCAGGATATTAAAGATATGTCAATTTAATCAGTGAGTGAGTAATTCTGGCCATTGTTGAAGTTTTGTATATAAGAAGTAAATGCAAGATTAACTGAATTACTAAATATCCAGAGAAACATAATCATATTTCTGAGGAGACTGTAAGTACAATTTCTGCAGAGTAAAATTAATAAGTGAATTATTAGATTCAATTTTGCCTTTAACCCAGCTGCACATTCTTAAATGACTGTTGCATATTGATCTTTATAAATGTGTCTATTTAAATTAAAGCTTATTCTGTGATTTGATTTATTTTTTATTTATTTTTAGCTATATATGAAATTATGAATTACTAGATGACAAATACAAATATGTTTATTAATTCAGCATTTTTATAATGAATGTTTAAAGCAAAACTCTAGTTTCTTTTATTCTCCCTTTTGAGAAGTAGTAGATCAGTCCTCTAGTGTTATATGAACTAGCTTCATTGATATGCTATATTGAATCATTTAATTTCATCCAAATCAAGTGCTATTGAATTAATCATTATGAATACTGTTGTTATACTTCATAGGCTACTAATATACTTCTTTCAATTATAAACCTTTCAAAATAAGTGTGAACCAAATTATGTAACTCTCTCTGGGGATGCCCCAAGCAGTTCCTTATAGATGCTGGGCTAGGTCATCCCAAAGAAGCATTGTAGTGGAGAAGAACATAGTCTTTGGAGACAGACTACCTAGTGTCAAAAATGGGCTCTGCTGCTTTCTACATATTCATTGGAAAAGTGCACTTTTAGACATGCTGGGCTCATCTGTAACATGGGGAATATAATGCTACTTACCTCCTAGGGTTCACATGAGAATCAAATGAGATGATACTAAAAAGTCACTGTATTTTTCTAGTGTTCATTAGATGCCAACATACTTTTAAGAACTTTCCTTTTATTTTCTTAATGAATTCTTATAATAACTCCAGGACCTATATTTTAACTGGTCCTATTTTATAGAATAGAAAACCATCTTAGAGAAGGTAACTCTCTTCCACATGTAACATGTCAAATACACTGCCCAGCACTTAGTAAACACTCTGTTACTGCTATCATTCTAGAACTTGTCATTAGGTATTTTGAGAACACTAGTCTGCTTTTGAACTTATGTGTATGGTTGTTGGAATGTCTTTTAATTCAAACCATTGCTCAAGTATCCTCACTTTAAGATAACACATTACTTAGTAGAGGCAATCAATGGTATAAATTATGGGTTACTGAAATGTTTGATCCAAGTAATGTTGAAACACTCCTGGTTGGTCTTTACATATTAGTTTGTCCTTTCCTAAATTATTGTTCTAAAGTCATGTTTAGTTAAAAGTTCACTTTTCAGCGATTCCATTAAATCTAATCCTATGCTAAATTAGTGGCCAGACCAGAAGGTCAGATTTAGGTCTGCAGGGTTCTAGGCTGGCTTTACTGTGAGTCAGGCACAATGCTAAGTGTTCTACATGAGTTATGACAAATGATTATACTACCTCTGAGAACTATCAGCAACTGAGAACTCACCACTTTTCAGAGTCCCACTTGAATCCAATGATCAGAATCTTTGAAATCTTCACTATACAGAACTAAAATCTTTCCACATGTGACCTCCAAATATTGCAGCTAGCATGTAATAGTTTCTTAATACATATTTATTGAATTATTTATTTCTGGCACACTAAAAATAAATTTATTTAAAACTGTCCTCTACATGGCATTCCTTCAAATATTTGAGGATTAATACCCTTTCTCCCTTGAAGCTTTTCACCAGCTTAATAGTATCTAAAGATTCTCAAACTTGTAGTTGGTAATTATAACATATAAGGATATTTAGATGTTCTGGGTATAATGCCAAATAGTCTGTCCATGCTAAGAAATAAGTGATAGTTGCCATCAGCAGATAAAAATTGCAGTGTGCTGTCAATATGGTTACTTGGAAATAAACTTATAAATTGTAATTTTATTTTATTAAAATTTTACTTCTCTTTGTTGATTATAGGGACAGAGGAAGGGAAAGGGAGAGAGAGATAGAAACATCAATGAGAGAGAACATTGATTGGCTGCCTACTGCATGCCCCCACTGGGGATTTGGCCCACAACCTGGGCATGTGCTCCGACCAGGAATCCAACCAGCGATCTCTTGGTGCATGAATCTATGATCAACCACTGAGCCACAATGGCCGGGCTAAATTGTAATTTTAATCAAAGTGTAAAATGTAAAACTTGAAAGGAACACTAGTTCAGTTCTGCTGAGTTTGAGAGTATGTGAAATTCCTAGTTACTGTCTGAGAGAAAATGCTGACCAGTTGTCCCAAGGACAACATGTTGACAAGCAAGGCTGCTAAGTTTTAAGTTGGGCAACACAGTGGAGGCAGGAACCTACGAAGTTTTTCTGAGGGATTAGATCTACTAGGCTCCTCAGTTAGGCTACTTTCAATGTAAAACATTTCATTCATTTTATAGTAAGCACATTTTGTCACTGGCCGCTTGGCCACTTGTATTGTTTTACAACTACCAAAAACCTAACAATTTTGGTGTTTTATTTTTACTTTTTTTTTTTAATCCTCACCCAAGGATATCTTTCCATTTATGATGTGAGAGAGACACATCGATGGCTTGCCTCTCAAAAGACCCTGACCAGGGCCAGGGCCTGAACCACAACCAAGGTACAAGCCCCTGACTGGAATCGAACACACGGCTGTTTGGTATGTGATCCGACGCTCTAACTGCTGAGCCAAACTGGCCAGGGCTATTTTTACTTTTTAAATGATACAAGTTTTTTTTTTTTTTTTTTCCATAAACGGTGTAATATCTACTGTATGTACTAAATACACTGTATTCTATTCCATGCTTTTACAGGTCATCTAGGATAACTTTTCATATACGCACAAACAGACCTACCTCACTGTTTTCTTTCAACAATATGCGTGGCATTAAGTAATATACCTCCAAAATTATTTACAGAAGTATGTTCTCTACTGAAAGACATTTAGGTTCTTCCCAGTATTTCCTATTATAAATAATGCTGAAATAAACATCACAGTACATACATTTTAGATGCATTTGTAATTATATTTTCAGTTCAATTTCTTTTTTTTTATCCTCACCCGAGGATATTTTTCCATTTTTTGTACAGATAGAGTGGGAGGGAGAGAGAGAGAGAGAAACATTGACGTGAAGGGACACATTGAGTGGCTGCCACCCGCACGACCAACCAGGGCCGGGGACAAACTGCAACCGAAGTACGTGCCCTTAGTGGGAACCGAACCCTGGTCTCTCTGGACCGCAGGCTGACGCTCTAACTGCTGAGCCAAACTGGCCAGGGCTCAGTTCAATTTCTAAATGTGGAATAAAGGGTATATGAATTTTAAATTTTATATGTATTGCCATGTGCCTCCTAAAAGAACTTGTAATAAATTGTATTCCCATTAACAACATTGAAGTGTCTATTTTATCCAACTTTGCCATTACTATAATTTATGAATTTTTATTTGATAGGTGGAAACTATTATCATATTATAATTTTAATTTATATTTTAATGATGATAGATCAAATTGAGACTATTTGCAAGTGTTTTTAAGTCAAGATTTTAGGACATTTATATTCATCCATGAAAAGCTTTTTCATGTACTATACCAATTTCTATTGCTGTTGCTCTTCTACCAATTTATAACAGCTAATTATATATTAAAGAAATTAATATTTTGTCATAAGAACTGCAAATATTTTATGGAGGTAGAGATATGGTTTTTCACTTTCTAAAATAGCTTTAAAAGCCTGCCAATTTTGATAAAGCAATTATGTAAAAAATAAATTATTTAAACAATAGCACTATGTCAGTCTGCTTGAAATTATTATTAAATTATCTAAGAAGTAGGTTTCTATTTCTTACCTGTAAAATATGAGTGGGTTCATTGAAAAATTGCTAGAATCATTTTCAAATCATGATACTGACTTTCCTTTTTGTTGCTAAATGCTTGTAAAAATATATATATATATATATTCTACCACCCAATACATTGTCAATTTATATTTATCAAAGCCTACTTAGGTAATTTGAACTAGGTAATATCACAGCAAAAAATTTCTTATAATTATATTCACGTTTCTCTAGTAATGATAGCATTTTGAGAAGATGGAGGTAGCTTTCAAACCCACATAATTACCTTATGATAAATGTTTATGGCGTGACTATCATAAACAATATTAACAACATCGTGATCAGTTTGAATACATGTTCTATTGAGATTGAATCTAGACAGTCCAATGTCCACACAATGCATCACACACCCCCAACTTTGGACTCTGAAAATAAGTTGGCAAACGCCTTGAACAAAGGCATAATTGAAGTATGATATTATGCCAGACAATTAGATAACTTTTTTTTAATCATCACCCGAGGATATATTTTTATGATTTTAGAGAGAGGGAAACAGAGAGACAGAGAGAGAGAAAAAATCAACATGAGAGAGAAACATTGATAGGCTGCCTCTGGTAAGAGCCTGACCAGGGATGGAACCCACAACCTAGCATGTGCCCTGATTGGGAATCAAACCGGAAACCTTTTGGTGCACAGGATGATGTTCCAACCAATTGAACCACCAGACCACGGCAGAATACATTTTTATGAGTTAAGTTTTGTTTAATATCACTTCAAGGACAAATGGAAATATTCTTTAGAAAATGGAATCAAATAGACTGAAAACATATTAAGCATTAAAATTCTTGTGCTAACATCCACATGTCCCAGGTTTTTGCACAACAAAATATAATAAAACCTAAGTAATTTTCTATTTTGCGTGGAGTTAAATAACAATAGGAGAATTATGTAATAGGTTAACCATGGCACAAACTATCCTTCTATTGCAGGCAGAACCAAAATGTGGTTACTATTAACAGTGGCAAGTTTGATATCTGCACTTGGAACAACTCATGGTTTCTTTGGACATCTTAATCCTGAAAGCCCTGAAGCGACTATGAATGTTGTAAGTTACTAGAGGGAAAAACCCCTATAAAACCAAGAGGTTATCATGATTTTAAATTATAGTAGTATTACGCTTTTACATGTTCAATTAAATATAACAACATCTACTGACTAGATGCCTTTAAGAAGTCAAATAAAAAAGGTTTTTCCTCACCAGAGTCAGATGATTTCTTACTGGGGATACCCAAGTGAAGAATATGAAGTCGTGACTAAAGACGGTTATATTCTTGAGATCTACAGAATTCCTTATGGGAAGAAAAATGCAGAGTATAGAGGTATAACCTTCTTCCCCTCATTCCCTCTATCATTCTCCCTCTTTTCCTCCCTTTTTTTTTTTATCCTTTCATTTTTTCCAAATGACTTAATGAGTCTTGCTCATTCTGGAAATGCAACAGTGATGAAGACCTATCTCTAGTCTTCAAGAAGGTCACCACCAAATGAATGAGATAGATACATGGATGATTACAATGTGTGATCAGAGCAATGCTAGAACTGTGCACATGATATTAACCTAGATGTCCTGACAAAGGCACCTAACTAGGAGAACTCAAGGAAAGCTTGCTGTCTGAAATGACACCGAGCTCAGTCCTAGAGGATCAGGGAAAGTTAACCAGGGTGTATGTTGTTGCCGGAAGGGAGAAAAGGGAGGCAATTCGAGTCTCATTTTCTAAATGGTTACTATTAAAAATGTATCTTTTAATCATTGTAGAAAAATACTGTAGTACAAAAAGTATAAAAGTAAGCAAGACCACTTAAAATAACAGCATGCTTAATTCTTTTAGAACATAATTTTTAATAGTTTTTGAAAGCATAATTGACATACAATCAACTGCACATAAAGTGTATAATTTGTTAAGTTCTGTCATCTGAGAAAACATCACCGTAAATAAGGTAAGATATTAACAAATATTGAACTGAATCAAGCAAATGATTTAATTCTAGTGAATGCCTGTTTCTATCTTTATAATTTATCTTAGAACAAGAAATGAGTTTATACAGCTTTTAAATAATATTCTTTTTCAGGCCAGAGACCTGTTGTGTTTTTGCAACATGGTTTGCTTGCATCAGCCACTAACTGGATTGCCAACCTGCCTAACAACAGTCTGGGCTTCCTTCTGGCTGATGCTGGTTATGATGTGTGGCTGGGGAACAGCAGAGGAAACACCTGGGCCAGGAGAAATATATACTATTCGACAGACTCAGCTGAATTCTGGGCTTTCAGGTAAAGAAAAGGAATCATTAACAATGGACACAAAAATAAATATTGAGTTTAAAAATCATGGGTATCCTCCCCTTCCAATTCAGTCCCATTTTAATATATTATATTCCAAGTAAGAAGAGAAGGAAGTGATTTTTAATCTAATCCTTTCTTGGATTCTTCCATACACCTGATTGCAAGGATAGTTTTTTCTCCCAGCTTTCTGTGATCTCATTACCCAGTATTAGGGAATTCCCTGGTTATGCTTTTCCAAATGGAATGAGCTAAATGACCAAAGCAAGGAAATGTTCTGCCCCGAGTAGATTGGAAAGAAACATCAACATGGATTCAAGAGAATATGAAACCCAGTGAAGGTCCAAGAACAGCAATCTGAGTCAATATCAATACCAAATTTGGGGTGGAGGCAATAAATTCGAGATAGATTATCCACAAGGTTCTCTATTGCTGTCTCTCTTGTGCCTTATTCCTGAAGATGACTCATGGATATGGAGAACTGAGGACAATCTGGCTGATGCAGCTGAGGCACAAAAATGCCCTGAGAGCTCTAGAAACTGAAAGGAAGCCTCTGTGTCCCGACCAAAGTGAGGAAGTGGGAGAGTGACATGAGAGGAGACTAGGGACGCTGACAGGGCCAGATCAGGCAGGGCTGTGTAGGCCATGGCGGTCTTGGAGCTCATTCTAAATGTAATGAGAAGCCACTGAAAAGTTTTAAGCAAGGGAGTGTCATAATCCTGCTATCATTTTCAAAAGACCACTCTGGCTGATTTGTGAAGAATAAACTAGAGAGGGATGTGGTTAATATTAAATGGCAGCGGTACACGGCATACAAATGATTATTAAATCTGAGATTGTTTTAGGGATAGAAATAATCCACAGCTACAGATATCTTGTTTTTTATTAAACAAGATAACAAGATATCCTGGCTGTAATGCCATGCTTCAGAAATGATGTCAACTGTTTATAAAAGTCACCCCAAAGAGCACCCGGTACTCACTGATGGTCTGTAAGCAGCAATGCTTAGAGAATCTACTTTTCAATTTCTCAACGGGAGCATTAGCTATAAATATGTTTGACTTTTAGAAATTATAGCAAGAAATATGATGTTTTGTTTTGTCTCTTTTTCTCGCAGCTTTGATGAAATGGCTAAATATGACATTCCAGCCACACTTGACTTTATTTTAAAGAAAACTGGACAGGAAAAGCTACACTATGTGGGCCATTCCCAGGGCACCACCATTGGTAGGTAAACACATTTGGAGCAGGTGGTTTAGTGTGTATAGACCCCTTTCCAGTTGTTATGCGGGCATGTTGGTCATCATGCTAATTGCTTTCCATTCATTATATATACAATATAATGTTTACAACACAATGATAATAGGAACAGTTATTATTCCTATTGTATACATGGGAAATCAAAATAATTTGTGCAAGATAACATAGTTATTACAAATAAGGTATCTCGTTTACCCCAGGCACTCTGACTCCCAAACCCATGCTCTGAAATATTGCACCATAGACTCTGGACTGAACTCATTCCATTCATTCAACCATCACTTAACAGTTGTACTGAGAATACAACAATAAATACAATAGATTAAAATCTTTGTCTTCTTACTACTTATACTCTAGTGAAAGGAGGCAGAGATAATCACAAAGATTAAAAAATAAACTATAAATTTTATTAGATGATCACAATGCTATGGAAAGAAAAGTAAATAAAGGAAGGATATTAGGGGGCATTAGAAGTTTTAGATTTGGAACAGTCCCAATCCCTCTCTAAATAATGTCATGAAGGAGGTCAGGGAGTGAGCCATGTCATTCCATACCAGGAACACTGATGTGCCAGGAAGAGGAAATTGCAAGTGCAAATGATCTGAGGCTGGAGTACATGTAGCATGTTCAAGAAATGGCAATGGGGCCCTGGCCAGTTTGGCCCAGTGGTCAGAGCGTTGGTCTGTGGACCAGAGAGTCCCAGGTTCGGTTCTCGCTAACCTCCTTTGTAGTTTGTCCCCAGCCCTGGTTGGGGTTGTGTGGGTGGTGACCACTTGATGTGTCTCTCTCATGTTGATGTTTCTCTCACTCTCTTCCCACCTCTCTCCCTCCCACTCTAACTGAAGATAGATGCAAAAATGTCCTCGGGTGAGGATAAAAAAAAAAAAGAAGAAATGGCAACGGGGATATTCACTGTGTAGATGAATCAGATTGAGAAAGAGAGACAGAGAGGATTGGGGGAGGCATTGAGAAGGACAGATTGTTCAGTACTTTTCAGCTGTTGTAAGGATTTTAGCTTTCACTCCAAGAGAAAATGAAAATCAGGGAAACATTTTGAATAGAGGAATTACATGATCCAAACTATTGATCTTCTACAGAGTCAGGAATAATGTGATCCTGTTAACAGGATCCCTCTAGCTGCCGAAGGGGAACAAGGGCTGGAGCAGAGAAGCCAATTAGAGGACTCTCATGGTATTCCATGTAAGAGATAACAGTGACCTAGATGAGAAGGTACAGGTAATTGGGGAGGTAGTGATACATGGTTAGGCTCTAGATATATATTTTAAAATATATTTTAAAGGTGAATCCAACAGGATTTGCTTACACAGGGGATATGGGTGTCAGAGATAGAGAGGAGTCAAGGATGATGCCCAGATTTGTGGCCTGATACCTGAAGTAATGAAGATGGAGATGCCATTAACCGAGACAAGACTGAGAAGAACTGATGTGGTCAGGGACAGCAAGAGCTCAGTTTCAGACCTGCTAAGTGTTAGGTTGCCTATTGTAGTTTCAAGTGAAGGGGTCAAGCTATACATTATAAAAGAAGTAGGGTGGAATCAGAAGGCAGAAATGGGGCAATGTATGAGAGAAAAAAATGGCATTTTTTGATGCTGATTCTCACTCACAGCTGATGACTTTATTCTCTACTACAATTCTAAGCAATCAGAATGTCCATATATGGACACATATGCAGGGCAGGGCAGTCGACAAAATTGGTGGTGGAAGCCTGTGAGAATTCTCTTCCTACTGCTAGGTTGTTCTAAAGCATGGATCTCACCTGTAAAATTTTAGATGGAGGAAAATGTCAGGGAGATAGAGCATCTCAATATTCTTATCATTATGTATAGGTCATGTTTCCAAGGAGAAGAAGATAAGTATTCAGGGTGTATGTAATAGAAAAAGTTTTAGGGGAAAGGAAAAAAAACAAAACAGGACTAGGCAAAGGAAGAAGCTGGGCTGGGATGCAGAAGCAGAAAAGCATCAGCCAACTCTGTGCATGATGGCTCTTCTGGAGTGAGGCATGGTGGCTGGGCCTTTTCACTCACCCTTTTGACCAGTGATTAAATGCAGGGTACCCCAGGAAGGGAGCATAACCTTGGGTTTCCATTGAAAAAGAGGAAAATCAGAGAGGACTCTCCACCTACCCTGCAGCTAGAATTGAATACGTGCTTTGGACTTGAAGGGGGATCCAGGCAATGCAGCCCCAGCAGCAATAACATGGGGTCAACCATCGACTCAAAATCTTTTGGGAAAAACGGGGACATTTTCTAAATTATTAAGAATTACTCTTTTAATTTTTAAATGACACAAAAATGTAACCATTTTGGATAGAAATCTGCATGAACTTATGACACACTCCTCTGCCTTTTTAAATAGACATTTGGAACAGAGTTGAACCTTTTCTCACTTATCTAGAGTTATGAAAGTATTGCATTGAGATATAATACAAAAGCTTCTTTAGGATTTATTGAGATGAGTAAAACTGCTTGTCCTGAAACTAAATAACTTCAACCTAGCACTCCTTCGAGTTATTTGCATTTTGAACATATCTATTTTTCTTTCTCACTTGTGGACAATTTGGCATTGCTTTCCCCATACTCACACATTTCTGTCAGTTTTCTGCCTTCAAATTAATATCTTCCCAACTAGTATGTAGTGGGAAGTTAGATAAGTATGATGTGCTGGCTATAATCTGAGGAGTTAGGCAACCAATTATATAATTTCTTAATAAACATAGTGCTCCTGGAAAAACAATTCTCCCTCAAGTAGAACCAGGTTGTATCTTATATAAGTGAGATTGTAGTGTAAATCTGAAAGTTTTTTTTTCAGGGCATTTTTGAGTATCATCTATGTGCCCTTACTAACAGTGGGGAAAGATTGTTCTATGTAGTTGGTGTGAAATATAACTTAAAAACCATTTAAGTACATCCCAGGCTACTAATATGCTACTGCTCATAAAGCCAATTGATTATAGATAAGGTTGAGTATATTTACTGTGTGTAGGTATTTGAATTATCTTGGCTACTCATTTTTCAGGAAGTTACTATGTGCCAAATATCCTGGTAAACATGATTTTTACATGATTCACCCTGCTTAGTCCCTTTATAACCCTGTGAAGCACTTATTATTATTCCCATATTTCAGCTGAGGAAATCAAGGCTCTGAATTTAGGTGATTTGTCCAAGGTCACAAGATTAATAAACCACAGAGCCAGTATTTAAAGCCTATTTAGTCAGATTTTAAATTTACGCTTTTAACCTTTCTGCTTATATGGCATACTCATTTTTTTAACTCATCTTTATTGTTGAATGCATTACAGATGTTCCTCCAATTTTTTCCCCACTGACACCTTCATCCCCAATCCCACGCCCCTCCTGCCTTCCCCACAGTATTGCCAGTGTCCATTGGTTATGCATATATGCATAGCAGTTCTTTGGTTTATCTCATCTGCACTCTCACCCTCTTCCCTTTGAGGTTCACTAGTCTAACAACAAATTTGTATTTCTCAATTCCATCATCTTTTTCACCCATCCCTCCAGCCCCCATCCATCTGGTAAGCAACAAAAAGTTATTTGTATGTATGAGTCTGTTTCTGTTCTGCTTGCTCACTTTGTTTGTAGATTCAAATGTTGATAGATATGTATTAATTGCAGCTTTATTGTTCGCATTTTTGTTCTTCTTCTCCTTCAATAAAACCCTTCAACATGTCATATAATACTGGTTTGGTGGTGATGAACTCCTTTAGCTTTTACTTATCTGGGAAACTCTTGATATGTCCATCAATTCTAAATGATAGCTTTGCAGGAGAGAGTAATCTTGGTTGCAGGTTGTTGCTTTTTATCACCTTGAATATCTCTTGCCACTCCTTTCTCGCCTGCAAAGTTTCTTTTGAGAAATCGACTGAGTCTTATGGGAGCTCCTTTGTAGGTAACTAACAGCTTTTCTCTTGCTGCTTTTAAAATTCTCTCTTTGTCTTGAACCTTTTGCATTTTGATGATTATGTGTCTTGATGTGGGCCTCTTTGGGTTCAACTTGTTTGGGACTCTTTGTGCTTTCTGGACTTGTATGTCTGTTTTCTTCACCAAGCTAGGGAAGTTTTCTGTCATTATTTTTTCAAATAGGTTTTCAATTTCTTACTCTCTCTCTTCTCCTTCTGGCACCCCTATGATGCAAATGTTGACATGCTTGAAGTTTCCCAGAGGCTCCTTGCACTATCCTCATTTTTTTTGGATATTTTTTTCTTTTTGCTGTTCTGATTGGGTGTTTTCTGCTTCCTTATATTTCAAATTGATGGTTTGCTACTCTACTACTGAATCTCTGTAAATTATTCTTTATTTCAGTTAGTGCATTTTTCATTTCTGACTGGTCCTTTTTTATGTTGTTGATGTTCTCACTAAGTTCCTTGGAGGTCTCCTTAAGGTCTCACTCAATCCCTTGAATGTCTCACTGAGTTCCTTGAGCAACCTTATAACCTGCATTTTGAACTCTGCATGTGATTGATTGCTTATCTCCATTTTGTTTAGTTCTTTTCCTGGAGTTTTGTTCTTTTCTTTCATTTGGGACATGCTTCTTTGTCTCCTCATTTTGGCTGCTTCCCTGTGTTTGCTTCTATGTATTAGGTAGAGTTGCTATATCTCCTAGGCTTTGTATGGTGGCCTTGTTGTAGGTGTCCTGTAGGGTTCAGTGGCATAGTCTCCTTGATTACCCTAGCTGGGCCCTCAAGGTGTACCCCTACTGTGGACTGTACACTCTTCTGTTGTAATTGAGTCTTGATTGCTGTTGGCATGTCAATAGGAAGGATTTACTCAGGCTGATCATCTGCAAGGACTGGCTATTCCCACTGGCCACTGGCCTCTGACTACCTTGGAGGATCAGCTGTGTAGGAGCCCACCACACAGAGCAAGACTTACTTCATCATGGATCTGTTACCCACTGCGTCTACCTATTGAGTGTGTCACTTGTGGAGGTGGTTGGGTGGTGGTGTTTCGATGTGGTCTGAAGCTGTCCACTGGGTGTGCTGGCTCTGGGGCAAGGTCATCCACTGCCTGTGTTCTAGCCAGGGATCACCTGGCATAAGCATAAGCTACAAAGTGATCTGCAGATGGCTGGTTCTTGTGCTGGGCTTGCAGGTGTCCAGGAAAAGCCAAGTTGTGAAACAAGGCTGGTTGCTTCTAGTACCAGGCTTGGGGCCACTTAACAAGAGGTATGGGGCCCACTGAGACCAGATGCTGCTTGTTTTTTTATCCTCACCCGAGGACATCTTTGCACTTATCCTCAGATAGAGCGGGAGGGAGAGAGGAAGGAAGAGAGAGAGAAAAACATCAACGTGAATTGAGTGTTTCTCACCCACACAACCCCATCCAGGGCCGGGGACAAACTGCAACTGAGGTATGTGCCCTTAGGAGGAACTGAACCCAGGACTCTCTGGTCTGAGGCCGACTCTCTAACCACTGAGCAAAACTGGCCAGGGCCAGATGCTGCTTGTTTGAGAGATTTTAGGAAACTCTGAAGCAGGATCCAAGACAGGCAAATTCTATGGTAAAGTCTCTGGAAACAGCCTGGTGGGCAGGAAAGTTGGGTGGGGCTGAAAGTTGGGTGGGGCAGGGCCTCAGGGAATCACCAGGGTGGGGAAAACTGTGTGAGCCAGGTTGCTGGAGTCCCAGATATGGTGGCCCTCTGCCACCCCAGAGAAGGGCTCACCAAAGGAATATCAACCTCTACCAGCCCCTTTGTCCAGGAGAAAGCTGCCCCTCCAGCCCTCGTCCCAAGGCCAAACAGCTCAGCTCTTCCCTGTAAGTCTCTGGCTCCCTTCAAGCTGCCTCCCCTCCTAGCTCAGAGGGAGCAAGTCCAAGTAAGTCTGTGCGCAGGCCCTTTAAGAGGAACTGCCTGGGTCTCCAGAAGCCACAGGCTCCCTTTGCTCAGTTCCTGCTGGTTTTTCTCATTAGAAGTGATGGTGAGTCTCTTCCTGGCAATGGAACCCTGAGCTGGGTGCCTTGTGTGGGATGGGGTCCCCTCAATCCTTAGGGAGGACCTTCTCAGCCGAGATGTCCTTCTTGATTTTTATCCACTAAGCGTGGGTGTGGGACCACCAGTCCGCGCCTCTGCCCCTCCTACCAGTCTCGGTGTGGCTGCTTCTTTAATTTTGTAGTTGTAGGACTTCCATTCAGCTTGATTTCAGGTGGTTCTAAATGATAGTTGTGTTGTAGTTTAGTTGTAATTTTGATGTGGTTGTGGGAAGAGGTGAGACTGCGTATGCCACCACCTTCACTGGAAGTGGCCTACTCATTTTAAAAGTTAATTATTTCATTTGACGAGATGAATTTAAATACATCAGATCTTACATATAGTATAAATAACTCTTTATTGCAACTCTATGATTATCCCAAAGTTGGCCTTTATTTCTAAAGTCAGATGAAAGAGTTAATTATAACTTTTTAAAAGTTCTAATCTCATGTCCCCATAGAGAATCTTTGGAAATAAAACACATATTAAAAAATACTAAAATCTGATTACCTTGAACAAGCAGAGATGGTCAATTTATCAGGTTTCTTCAGATGACAATCCTATTAAACCTAAAATAATGTCACAGTTGTAACACACGCACACACACACACACACACACACACACACACATACACCTTCATTCATTTCTTGCTTTGTTACAGGTTTTATTGCCTTTTCTACTAATCCCAACCTGGCTAAAAGAATCAAAGCCTTTTATGCATTAGCTCCCGTTGCTACTGTGAAGTACAGTGAAAGCCCGTTAAGAAAACTTTCAATTATTCCATCATTCCTCTTCAAGGTATGTGGGTCTTTTTAACTGAATGTAAGATATGAAGTTGTCCATGGATTTCAAAGTGATGGAAAGAAACAAAAACACCTGGTGAACAATCATGTTTGCATTCAGGATAGAAATGGACATGTTTACTATATTATTTCTTGAATAGCACTGACCATGTTGAAATCCCCACTAGAGCAAGTGAGATCCCTATATATTTCTTGGTTCTTCATTAGTTTGTGTGCATTAGCAATGCCCTCATAGATATTTAATTTACCAAGCACCCCACACAGCTCTGTTCGAACTGTGATTCCACCCCTGAAGCGGGAAAGGGGAAACAAAACAAAACAAAAGAGTCCAATGAGAACTGAAATGAACTGAGCCATGAAAACTAAGAGGAAGAATCGGATAGAAAGGAAAGAGAGGGGAAGGGGAGGGAAGGGAAGGGAAGGGGAGGGGGAGGGGGAGGGGGAAAAGGAGGGGAAGGGGAGGTGAAGGGGAAGGGGAAGGGAAGGGAAAGGGAAAGGAAAGGGGAAGGGGAAGGGAAGGGGAAAGGAAGGGAAAAGGAGAAAGCGAAAAGCAATGGTAGAGTAAAGCAAGGACTTTGAAACCCCTCTTTAAATACTCTTGGGCTTCTAAACCTTATCCTAAGAGCTCCTCTCTCTTTAAATAGGGATTTCATAAGGCAATAGCATAAATTTTAACAAACAAACCATAAATTATAAGTAGGCCTGAATGACAGAGAATTCATAATCTTCATTTTTCCAAAACTTAATCACCTACTTCTCTCACCCACCAAAACCAACACACACAGTTTTCTTTAAGAAAGCAGTTTGGCCTCAAGCTGCTTGGTACAATGTAATGGTGCCATTTCCTCGTCTGATTTTGTACTATTCATTTCTTTTCACTCTTTTTTTTTTTTATCCTCACCCGAGGACATTCCTCCATTTTTTGTTCAGGTAGAGTGGGAGGGAGAGAGAGGAACAGAGAGAGAGAGAGAGAAACATCGATGTGAAAGGAACACATCGAGTGGCTGCCACCCACACAACCGACCAGGGCCGGAGACAAACTGCAACCGAGGCACGCGCCCCTAGCGGGAACCGAACCCAGGTCTCTCAGGACCGCAGGCCGATGCTCTAACCGCTGAACCAAGCCAGCCAGGGCCTTTTCACTCTTAAGTAACATGCATCTAAAGACTAAGAAACTTTTCTTAGGGTCAAAGTATTTATTCAAAATGTATGATTTTGTGATGACCCTGGCTATACTGATGCACAACTAATTTATTTCTTACTGGTACTCAGATTTTCTCATAAGTGATGTAGAGAGTGTTAAAAACAAAGCACACACACACACACACACATACACACAAAACAAGCAAAAAAACACAAAACAGCTCAGGCCAGTTTGACTCACCAGTTAGAGTGTCGGCCTGCGGTCCAGAGAGACCCAGGTTTGGTTTCCGCTAAGGGCAAGTACCTCGGTTGCAGTTTGTCCCCGGCCCTGGTTGGGTTGTGCAGGTGGCAACCACTTGATGTATCCCTTTCACGTTGATGTTTCTCTCTCCCTCCCACTCTATCTGAACAAAAAAATGGAAAAATGTCTTCGGGTGAAGATAAAAAACCCACACAAAACAAAAAACTGTATTATACCTCAAGTCAGAGGCCTGGGGCTTGAGTCAGGATTCTAGTTACAATCAGTTCTAATTATCCCAAGACCCTGACTATTTATCAGCCTTAAGTTTTCTCATGTATAAAATGGGGATGGCACAATGTATATTTTCCTCCAGAAAAGTTAAGTCCAGTCCTTTCAATTATTAAACTACCTGCCCTCTTTGTCTTTCTCAAGATTTGGCTGAAAATATGACTCAGAATCACCATTTCCCTTTCTGAATTTTCTATGATTTACTGTTGACATCACACTTAATTGTGACATTCTGCCATGATGTTTTATGATTTTATTTTGTAACTCTTATTATCCCAACTAGATTGTAACTTTTGTGTCTTGTGCTTTTTCTCAATGTCTTATACTTCTCTTCAGCCATGGCATAGTTCTCAATGCAATAATAAATACCCAATGTTAATATATACCCTTCCCATCCCACAACTTTATTGAGGAAATTATCTGAACATATTTGAGATTCTTAAAACAGCATAAAATTATGAAAATATCATCAACTTATTCACAACTGTATCAGTAAATTAGACAAATCAGTGAGTCTTTTCTGCAGCTTGATTTTTCCAACCCCCTATTGCTTTTATTTTTCAGATTATCTTTGGTGACAAAGCATTCTACCCACACCGCTATTTTTATGATGTTCTGGCCACAGACCTGTGTTCCCAAGACATACTAGAGGCCCTCTGCAGTAATGCTTTGTTTCTCATTTGTGGATTCGACCATAAGAACTTGAACACGGTTTGTATGCATTGAAATTTCTATTCTGAATATTTGGGGCCACATTTTTTATTACTTGTCCCATCATCACTTAGAAAGGGTATTTCATAAGAAGTAGAGTAGCTTCAGAATTGTGTACTTGACATGAAGGTAAGCCCAAGAGAAATCACAAGTCAATCCTCCCCGTTTTGTCCCCTCCAGCTCCTTCCACCACCCCATTGTCCTCTACATAGAGAAAAAGAATTATAACTCAGTATATATATTGACTTTCATGTATATTCACACACACACACACACACACACACACACACAGTTTGCAAAGTAAGAAGTTTGTATGTGAGCAGTTCGTTCATGCCCTCTGGCACTGGGTAGAGAGCAGTAAAATGCTGAGTATTTAGACAACAGACCTAGATTAAGGTCTCTGGCTCCATGCTATTACTACCTGAGTGGCATTGGACATTTCTCTTAACTTCTTTGAGCCCCAATTTGACAAAATGGATATGATAAGCTCTCCTCTTTATTTTATTTATTTTTTGTTAATCCTCCCCCAAGAATACTTTCTTTTTTCCTTTTTTTTTGAGACCATAGAAAGGAGTGGGGTAGGGGAGAGATAGACATCAATGTGAGACAGACACATCAGTTGGTTGCCTCCTGCACACGCCCTGACCAGGGCCTGGGGTTGAACCTGCAACGCAGGTAGTACCCTTGACAAGGAATCAAACCCCAGACCCTTTGGTTCCTGGGCTAACGCTCTAATCGCTGAGCAACACCAGCCAGGGCAAGCTCTTCTCTTGGAGTGCCTACAAATTAAAGGAATTAGCCTGTGCAGTGGTCCTTTGCAAGCTCTAAAGTGACATACAACTGTGTTGCTCATATCCTTCCAGTAAACGTGCCCTCAAACACTCGAACTGGGTCAGAAGAACTTACAACTTAGCTGTTTTGAGAATCTGAATGAAGATCTAAGTCTGAGTGTACGTGTGTGTGTTTTCTTTCTAGAGTCGCTTAGATGTGTATCTGTCACATAATCCAGCGGGGACTTCTGTTCAAAACATGCTCCACTGGAGCCAGGTACATTTTTCAAATGCTGTTAAAATTTATTTTGTGAGCCTGAATCTAAAGCACATTCTTCACATGTTCTGTCAAATGCCCCTGGTGGGGAATTTTTCTGGCATGTGACTACCAGCTGAAAATAACTATCATTTCATGTGAATGAAAATCCTGTGAAACAGGTGCTCTGGGCAGCAAAGAAAGGAATGATTTTCATGAAAGCAAAGCTGCCTTTAAACTCGCATCAGTACCTTGTCCTGGATGATGAATAGATTTTATTTTGGGAATAAAAAAATTTTTTAAATCATTGTTTTAATTAAAATTTGACTGCTTAGAAATGTTTGTGATTTATTTTTCTCATAGCAAGCAGAATTTATATTTCCTTGTGTTCTTAATCTCTCTAACTTAGGCTGCTAAGTCTGGAAAATTTCAAGCTTTTAACTGGAGAAACCCAGTACAGAACATCATGCACTATCACCAGGTAAATTCTTAGATTTGAAATCTTCCACATTTTGAAAGACAAATATTTAAATGGTAAAAGATGAAATTACAATAACTGCATATATTTTTCCAGAGAAATGTTAGTGCCCAATCCTAGCCTTAGGAAATTGCAGAGTATTATTACCCTGTGATTCCTTCTTTGTGTCAGACATCAGCCGAGTCTCATCCTCCCAATGTGCTCTCACGCTCCAGTGCTCAGTCAGGCTGCTCTCGAAAAACCATATCGCTCCATGTGACAACCTTTTCAGAATTTCTTTTTTTTTTTAATCCTCACTGGAGGATATTTTTTCATATATCCTCAGATAGAGTGGAAGGGAGAGAGAGGGAGAGAAAGGGAGAAACATCAACATGAGAGGGACACATCAACTGGTTGCCGCCTGCATGAACCCGACCAGGGACAGGGACGAACCTAAACCAAGGTACATGCCCTTGACTGGAATCGAACCCGAGACTCTTTTTCTTGAGGGCCGATGCCCTACTGCTGAGCCAAACTGGCCAGGGCCCTTTTTAGAATTTAATCACCCCTCACACAGTAGACAGACCTGCCCTGTATCCCAGACCCCTGGCACAGTGTTCTCTCCTTTCCAAAGTGCCATTAGCTAGTATAATAAACCTTTCAGGAGATAGAGCTGGATGCTCTGGTCTTCTTGAACACGATGTTCTCCATTGTTGTCAGGCAGGGAGGTGATTCCAGCACACTTCCAGACATGAAGGAACGCTGGTGCACCTGCAGGTCAAAGCTGGACATCCTTCCCAGCAGTAGGTACCGTGTGGTGCAGGCAGACACACAGTGCACTTTTGTAGTACAAAGAGCCCAAGCTTGGAGTCTGTCCTACTTAAGGTCAATGTGAGTTCAGACAATAATTTCTTCATCTCTCCCCTTAGATTCGATTGATGAATAATACTTAATGGGATAATGTCTATAAATCCTTCACTCAGGGTAAATTCTCAGATTATCATTGGCTAAATGGGAAGTACCTACATATTTTTGTTTTGTTTTGTAATTCTCTTGTTTTCCTCTTACCCTACCTCCAATTTCTCCACCCAAGTGGTAGCTGAACTATTAATTTTCACCTGCTTCCATAACTCAGTATTTAGAAGGGATTTATGTCTTTTAACCACAATATCCTGTGTGCAGAAAATATGCCCCCATTTATACACATTTGATATCTTTAAAGTCTTTTTCAGAACAGTGTCAAATCAAACATTTGTTGAAAGCACACCCCTCCACTCCAATCATCACCCCCTCCAATCCCCCAAACAGAGATTGCTTTGAATCTATCTATCTACTGGGCTCTAATACCAGTAATCAGCAGACTCCATTAATTACATGGGACTAGAATAACCTAATCCCAAATCCAACCCCCAACAAGCTAGCTGATAATAGCTCAGGATGATCTTCAACTCTAATAACACACTCAAATACTAAGGGAAATTGCATATGCTAAATCCTTTGTGTGGAAAGTTGACTATTACCTAAAGTGAGAATACAAAAATTATGGTATATTGGATTAGTTTTCTGAGAATGTGATATAAAAGAAAAAACTAACAAAATTCCCTGGGAAAATTGGCAGTGATTCTCTCTCTCTCTCTCTCTCTCTCTCTCTCTCTCTCTCTCTCTCTTTCTCTCTCTCTCTCTCATCCTGCTTTATGAGCCTTTATAAAAGCCATGTGTGAATGGCAATTTTTTAGAAATAGGAAATGAAACTGATGATAGTTTTTCTAGAATTTGAACAATAGTAAGTAAACTCAGGCAAGTATTTAATAAATACAACTTCTTAAATGAACTGATTGATCTGCAGACTGACCACACTGGAAAGTCAATACAAAGCCAAAATAAATGACTCAGGACCTTTTGAGGAGATCATATTTTTGAGTGTTTAGGCAGAAACCATCTATTACAGTTAGAATCCAATCAAGCTGACTTCCTTCAGCTGGAGTTGAAATCTAAATTTTTAATTTGTTAGAATTGTTATCTGAAGCCTCACTATTCAAAGCATGGTCCAGGACCAGCAGCAGCAGCATCGCCTGGGAATGCAGAAGCTAGGCTCTTCCCCAGATGTACCGAATCAGAATTTTCATTTTAACAAGATCCCTAAGTGACTCACAAGCCTGTTAAATTGGAGCAGCACTGATCTAAATCATACTGCATCCAATTTGCTCTGTGGATAAAGGAGACTTTCTCTGAGCAGTCATTGTTTAGAATTAACTTATAAAACTAGGTCATGACATTTATGACAACATGGATGAAATGTGAGGACATTACACTAAGTGAAATAAGTAAGAGAAAGATAGAGACTTTATGATCTTATATGTGGAATTGAAAACAGTAAAAACAAACAATAATAAAATTTAACTCGTAGCTAGAGAGAACAGGTTGGTGTATGCCAAAGGGGGGGGGTGGCAGGCAGTAGGCAAAATGGGTGAAGGTAGTAAAAAGGTTACAAACTCTCAGTTATAAAATAAATCACTCCTGAGAATGTGATGAACAGCATGGTGACTAGAGTTAATGATACAGTATTACATACTTGAAAGATGCCAAGAAAGTGAATCTTAAAAATTCCCACCATAAAAAAAAAAAAATCGCAACTGTGTAAAGAGAAGGATGTTAACTAGATTTACTGTATTGATTGTGGTGATCATTTAACCATATATACATATAGCAAAATTTTATGTTGTATATCTAAAACTAATATAATGTTGATTATAGGTCAATGAAATATATCTAGGCCAGTTTATCTTGTATAAGCTATCCACAGAATAAGTACTGGGGTTTAAGTGTAGATACCTATGAAACTGTTTTTCCTTCTCTCTTGTGTATTAGCCCACACCTCCCGAGTACCATTTGACAAACATGAATGTGCCAATTGCAGTGTGGACCGGCGGCAACGACTGGTTGACTGTCCCTCATGATGTTGACCTTTTGCTTTCCAAACTCCCTAATGTCATTTACCACAAGAAGATTCCTATTTACAATCACTTGGATTTTATCTGGGCAATGGATGCCCCTCGAGAAGTCTACAATGAAATTATTTCTATGATGGGAAAAGATAAAAATTAGTTCTGGATTGGAAGAATCATCCATTCATTTTTCCAAAACCCCTTTTTCTGTCCCACATGATTTTCTATAATGTTTGAGATGCAATGCTTCTTTCTGTAATTTTGACTTCTGAAATATATTAGCATTAAAAAACTTCCAGTGTTCATTTTGATTTTCGAATAATTTTTTAAATTTGATTTTTCACTTAACAATTAATCTAGAAACATTAGAAAGAACACATTCCTGGGGAGGTGAAACTTCTCTTCCAATCTTCTCACTCAATTTATCTTCCAGAGTCAGCACATATTATAATCCATGAATCATGAGTGTCTCCATAAGACAGTCCTGGATTGAATATTGCCACCTCTTATGAATGCTTGAGATTGAGTAAATTGCCTTCTGTGGTCTATTACTGCTGAAGCTCAGTCTTCCCATCTGTCTAGCCAGGACAGCCCCTGCTCTTTTGCCTGTTTAACTCCATGAAAAGACAAATAAGGCTGCACACTGAGCTGAAGTCAGCTCACTTTCACTTTCTAGGGAGAAGAAAGCAGGGATAGATTAGGAAGCAACAGACAGTCCTGGTTCAGGAAATTGGGAAGCAAAGGGTGTGTTCTCCATTCCAACAGCTATTCTGCCCCCAGATCCTGAGACTCAACCACAAAACAGGCAGCAACTAACCAATGATTTTTTAGAACACTGGCACTGTCCTGGCATCCACGGATCCAGAAACATTCCCACTGATATTTAAGTCAGAATGTGCAACTCCCAGCAGTTGATATACCTACCCCCAAAATAATGGCTCCCCATAACTTCCAAAATTTCCAGTAAACACAGCCTCACCTGGGAAATACTATTCACCCCATAATATCGTTACCTCATATGTAATGTGCTTTAGCTTTTTGGATCCCACTTATTATGCTGTGGTAGGGATTAATGAATAAAATATAAATGAGATCAAGAGTACCTTGTACCCAGCATAATATATAGAACATAATGAATAACAAACATCTGTTAATGATTTTTATTATATTGTCATGTCTCTCAACGTTTGCTAGAAAGCCTGAAGCTTTCTTATTTATTTTTAGCATCTCGCCTTTAAGTGAAAACAAAAATCATTTCTACAAGGATATTATTTAGGGACCTTTATTTCAATTATTTCAGGGAACTTCGATATGAGCCTTTAATAAACTGACATGAGAATCTCAGTGACTGTGTCAAACATGCTTGGTGGGAAGCCAATTAAGGAGTCAGATGTTTCCTTACTCTTCTCAAGAAAAAGACCGTCATATTCTAACAGTTTTCTTTGGTTTTCTGGCTAATTAATTGCCTTTCCTTTGGTTTGCATTTAGCAAACAATGGCAGCTTTGTTTTGGGTCTTTGAACACAAGTAAATATATTTGCTTCTACAGCAGCTCCTCTAGTATCTCTCATTCCTAACTCTGAACTGGTAATGGATCAGCTGATCTTTGAGGATTAATTTCTCTTGCTACTTCCCTCTTCCTGTATTAATTTTAAGCAAATTTGAGATTTGACATGTTTCATCCATGAGTATTTCAGGTTGTATTTCTAGAAGATAAGATCTCTTTCTTTTCCTAGTGGTTTTGGCTCAGTGGGTACAGTGTTAGCCTGCAGACCAAAGAGTCCCAGTTTTGATCCCCCAGCATCAGTCAGCGGCTTGTGGGCAGCAGCCAATCAGGCAACCAGTCGAAATGTCTCTTTCACATGGATGTTTCTCTTTCTGTGTCCATCCCTCCAACTCTATCTGAAAAAAAAAAATCAATGGAAAAATATTCTCTGGTGAGGAATAAAAATAAACAAGGAGAAGAAGGAGAAGGAGAAGGAGAAGGAGAAGGAGAAGGAGAAGAAGATCTCTTTCTTTCTTTTACATAACAATACCATCATCACATCCAAATATTCCTTAATATCAGAAAATATTCAGTCTCCTAAATGTCAATTTTTTAAACAGTTTGTTTGAATCAGAATCCAAATAAAGCTTTCACCTTTTATTGTCTGATCTGGTTTTTTTAGGTCTATAGGTTACCTATTTATTTTTATTCCTTTAATATGTTATTATTTTTGAAAGCATGGTCTCTTTTTTCTTATAGTTTCATACCATTGCTATTTTGCTGGTAGTATTTCTGTAGTATCACTTAATATGTCCTCTCCTCTTCATTTCCCATAAATTAGGTTCTTAATCTCAACACTATTGACGTTTGGGCCAGATACTTTTTTATTGTCCTGGGCATTGCAGGATATTTAGCTGCATCCCTCTACTCACTAGAGTCCAGTGGGACACATACATTCCAAGTTGTGACAACCAAAAATGTGTCCAGTTATCACCTTAGAGGCAACATAGTTCACCCTCCCCACTGAGAACCACTCTCATAAATTATAACTTTGATGAGATTAAGATTTATTTTTGAAAAAGCTGCTTCATGGCCCATGTTGCATTTTTCTATAATGAGGATCATAATGCCTATATGTCCCTCTTTAAGGATGTCAGTGGCCATTTATTTTCAGTGCCCAGATCCAGTAGTTCAGTACAGATTAAAAAATTGGTGACATTCTAATTTAATTAGTTCTTTTTCATTTGGTTACCCAAAATGCATATATTTTTTTCAATTTCCAAAAATAATATTCCCTTTTTATATTATCATAACAAATTTGTGTTTCTATGCATATTTTGTGTGTTTCAATTCAATGTAATATGATCCTTATTGATATTAAAATTATCTCCAGTATGCTTGTGAGAGCCTCTATAAATTGTCTCCAAAGTTCTTTTTACCAAATCTGTCATCTTGTATGTTTGCTGTTCGTGCTTTGGAATTATTTCTCTAAGTCCTGGTTCCTTTTAGGGAATTTTTTTACTAGTGAGGGTGATCATTGATTTTGAGTTGATTATTGTTGTTGGGTCTTTTCAATGAAGAGAGCTAGGTAATGTTTTTAAGATAAACTATATCAGGAGTTCATATTCATTCTTCAGTTCATTTTTTAAGAATAGCTGTTTTCCCGGCCAGTGTGACTCAGTGGTTGCGCATAGACACATGCATACAACAAAAGATCACCAGTTTGATTCCCAGTCAGGGCACATGCCCAGATTGTGGGCCAAATCTCTAGTGGAGGGCATGCAGGAGGCTGACAATCGATGTTCTCTCTCATTGATATTTCTATTTCTCTCTAAAATCAATAAAGAAAAAAATTAACAATGTATTGAAGTCCTGGAATGGTATCCATACATTAAAAAAAAAAAAAAAAAAGAAATAGCTGTTCATCTACTTCTTCACCATGAGAGTTGTAATATAATGTTTGAACTCTTGCAATAGCATCTTAAATGGTCTTCCTTTCTCTGGTCTCTGTGCTTAATATTTCAGACTAATTCCTGATATTCTGTCCATTCTTCAACATCTTAAGTTCAGATTCTTTAACGTGCCATCCCGAAATCTTATAAATCTGAAATCATTTATCTTTACTGTCTCTTTTTCAACTACTTTAATTAGTAGCTTCCTTTCTATTCAAACTATTTCTTCATTATGTCTCAGATATACCTCATAACTTGCACCATCATAATGTTGCTCATATTCCCCTCCCAAATTCTTCCTAATTAATTTCGGGGTTGCAAGTAGGTATGTATGTTCTGTGCATAAATCACATGAAGATCAATATATATAAACAGAGAACTGTGTTGTAATTGGAAATAATGACTCATTTTCTTTAAACATGGTATTTTTTTCTATTTTTTTTTCCATTTTTATTCATTTATTTTTGTTACAGATGTTTCTTTTTCCCCCCGAGACACCCTCCTCCCCATCTCACCCCATCCCCTACCTAGCATTGTTGTCTATGTCCATTGGTTGTGCATACATGCATATAAGTTCTTTGGTTCAATTCATCCATCCTCTCCACCCCCCTACTCTGAGGTTTGTCAGTCTGAACTATATTCCTTTCTATGTCTCTGTGTCTGTTTTGTTCATCAGTGCACTTTGTTCATTATATTCCACAAATAAATGAGATCATGTGGTATTTGTCTTTCTCTGATTGGCTTATTTCACTTAGCATAACACTCTCGAGGTCCCTCCATGTTGTGTCAAAGAATCAGAGATCTTTCTTTCTCATAGCTGCATAGTATACCATTGTATATATGTACCACAGCTTTCTTATCCACTCATCTATTGATAGACACTTGGGCCATTTCCAGATCGTAGCGATTGTAAATAGTGCTGCTATGAACATAGGTGTTCATATATTCTTTCTGATTGGTGTTTCAGGCTTTTTAGGATCTATTCCTAGAAATGGGATCACTGGGTCAAATGGCAATTCAATTTTTAATTTTGGGGGGTAACACCATAGTGTTTTCCATAGGGGCGGCACCAGTCTGCATGCCCACCAACAGTGTCCCCTTTTCTCTAGAGTCCCCTTTTCTCCACACCTTCTCAAGCACTTATTGTGGGACGATTTGTTGATGGCGGCCATTCTGGCAGGAGTCAGGTGATACCTCAGTGTTGTTTTAATTTGCATCTCTCTGATGATTAGTGATGTTGAGCATTGTTTTCATATGTCTCTTGGCCATTTGTATGTCTTGTTTTGAGAGGTGTCTATTTAGGTCCTCTGTCCATTTTTTAATTGTATTCTCTGTCTTCCCTTTGTTGAGATGTATGAGCACTCTATATCTTTTGGAAATTAACTCCTTATCTGATGTATCATTGGCAATTATGCTCTCCCATACAGTTGGTTCCTTTTCTTTTTTGATAATTGTTTCCTTTGCTGTGCAGAAGTTTTTTAGGTTGATGTAGTCCCATGTGTTCATTTTTCCCTTTGTTTCGGTTGCCTTAGGTGATGTATCAGTGAAGATTCTGCTGCATATGATGTCTGAAATTTTGTTGCCTACATTTTCTTCTAGGATTTTTATGGATTCAAAAGTCACATTTAAGTCTTTTAACCATTTTGAATTTAATCTTGTGTATGGTGTAAATTGATGCTCTGTTTTATTTTATTTTATTTATTTTTTGCATGTAACTGTCCAA